ACTTTGGACTGAACTGTTGTTCTAATAATACCAACCTAAAGATTCATCCTTAATTTTTAGATGAATGGCAGATTTATTTCATTCTTTGTTTCTTTTGGTTTAAACACAAATGTTTCTCCAAGACTTTTCCAAACCTGGGCGATTTCCTCCCATCGCGACTGTTCAACACTTTCATTTCACTTTAATTACTTATCTTTCATGAAACATGAAAACAAAATGAAAATGTCTCAAAAAATTGGTTTATTATTTAATTCAAACTAAAATAAAATATAGTCCTAAAGAAAAGTCAAAGGTCAGTTTTATTCAAGACTCATCCAGGTTTATATTTTTATAGGAAATGCTGTTTGCACAGATCAGAGGAATCTGCTGCCTGCTCTGAGGAACTTTACTTCCTGTTACTCCTGATGCCGTCTGCTGTCAGGAGAGCAGATGTTCTTCTGCTTCGGTCTGCTGACTGAACCCCCTTCATGGAACCTGATCAGATCATCTCTAATCACTGATCTGTGTCTCCTGTCCTCAGGTTCAGACATGTCTTCTGGCAGCCCCGCGGTCTGAGGATCAGTTTCTCTGCTCCATCTGTCTGGATGTGTTCACTGATCCAGTCAGCACACCATGCGGACACAACTTCTGCAAGACCTGCATCACCCAGCACTGGGACGGAGACGGCCCCTACAAATGTCCTCTGTGTAATGAAGGTTTCACCTGCAGACCTCAGCTGAGAGTCAACACCTTCATCAAAGAGATGGTTGATCAGTTCAGACATGAAGCTCAGCAGGGAGCCAGCAGCAGCAGCTCGGAGCAACAAGCTGCTAAACCAGGAGAAGTTCCCTGTGACGTCTGCACTGGACCCAAACTGAAGGCCCTGAAGTCCTGCATGGTGTGTCTGACCTCCTACTGCCAGACTCACCTGGAGCCTCACCCTGGCCGCTCCACGTCTGAAGAAACACCAGCTGATGGAGCCCATGGAGAACCTGGAGGACAGGATGTCTGCAGCACGATAAACCTCTGGAGCTGTTCTGCAGGACCGACCAGACATGCGTCTGCTCACTCTGCTCTGTTTCAGACCACCAGAACCACCAGCTGGTTCCTCTGGGAGAAGAATCTGAAGGAAAGAAGGCAAAGCTGAGGAAGACGGAGGCTGAAGTTCAGGAGACGATCCAGGAGAGACGACTGAAGATCCAGGAGATCAGAGAGTTGCTGAAGATCAGTAGAGATGCTGCAGACAGAGAGAAGCAGAAGCTGTTCAGGTCTTCACGGCTCTGATGGAGTCTGCTGAGAGACGCCTGAAGGAGCTCCTCAAGGAGATCCAAGACAAACAGGAAACTACAGAGAAAGAGGCTGAAGGCTTCATCACAGACCTGGAACAGGAGATCTCTGAGCTGGAGAAGAGGAGCTCTGAGCTGAAGCAGCTCTCACAGGATGAAGATCACCTCCACCTCCTGCAGAGCTTCTCCTATCTGACAGATCCTCCACCTGTCAAGCACTGTGTAGAGGTCAGAGTTCATCCACCATCATATGAGGGCACTGTGGTGAGAGCTGTGGCTCTGGTTGAGGAAGACTTCAGGCAGAAGATTAGCAAGTTGCTAGCAGAAGAGCTGAAGAGGGTCCAGCAGTTTGCAGTGGATGTGACTCTGGATCCCGATGCGGCTCATCCTAACCTCATCCTGTCTGGTGATGGAAAACAGGCCAAACATGGAGATGTGAAGAAGAATCTTCCAGACAATCCACAGAGGTTTTCTCACTGTGTTCTGTTTTAGGACAGCAGAGTTTCTCCTCAGGCAGATTTTACTTTGAGGTTCAGGTTAAAGGAAAGACTAACTGGGCTTTAGGAGTGGTTAGAGAATCTGTTGACAGGAAGGGAACCATCAACCTCAGTCCTCAGAAAGGTTTCTGGACTTTCTGGTTGAGAAATGGATATGAGTACAAAGTTGGTGCTGGACCTTCAGTCCGTCTGCATCTCCATCCTGGTCCAGAGAAGGTGGGGGTGTTTGTGGATTATGAGGAGGGTCTGGTCTCTTCTATGATGTAGATGCTGTAGATGTGATTTACTCCTTTACTGGCTGCTGCTTCAAGGAGAAACTCTACCCGTTCTTCAGTCCTGGTCTTAGTGATGGAGGTAAAAACTCATCTGCCCTGATCATCTGTCCTGTTCATCAGACTCATTGATCTGCTGAATCTTGAGAGGTGAGCTGGAAACATCCTCTGCAGGAATTCAACAGTTCTGATCATTTTCTGCAGCTCGTTTCTGATTCTGTGTTTCTGCAGGTTTTATCTTCTCCCTTCAGCTTCTAAAATCACCAGCTCATTATTTCTTCTTGGATTTTTTCATGTAACTATTTGAAAGTGTGTCTGAGTTTGAATCTTCTCTTTGTATGATGAGATGCTGATAACTGATCGCTGCGTTCAGAAAGTTTAATCTGGAGACTAAAGTGACTTTAGACACTAAACTACTAGTTAGTGTCTTAGTAGATAGAAGAACTGCTTCCTTCTAATGATCATTCTGATGTATAGAAAGAAAACCTTTAAGACTTTATAAGACTAATGTGATCAGAGTTGTAGTTCTAAAAGTTTTGGATCTGAAATAAAACGCCATATAATCCAACTGGAGTTTGTTTCATCTTAATCCTGGAAGTTTGCAGTTTTAGAATCTTTAAAATGCAGATCGAGCAGCAACTCTGGGAAAAAGGTGCCAAATCATTTTGGATCATTGACTTTTCAGTTTGCGTGTCAAATGGACATTCAAGGCTCCAAACACTGTCCAACTCTTGGGACCTAAAGGGGATGCTGGAGCTCCAGTTTACTCAAATGGGCTGACTGGGCAACATCTGCCAGCATTCATTGCTCTGGAAGCCATATTTGTAGATTTGACAATAAAAGCCATTTCTGCAGAGGTAAGGGTTTCTTTTGGACGACCTCCAATGAAGACGTCGGTGTGAAACTTGTTCTTTCACGTTTTGGACAGAAAAGGGACATTAAGACCTTGAAAGAATAACTTGATCAACTTTATTGCTGTTTGTGCTTCTGCCGTTTCTCAGTTCCCTAATGGTCCAACGGACACCTGGACCACCTGTCCCTCCATGTCCAGCATGTCATGGAAGATCATTTGCAGCGGCGTCTGCATAGTTGACGTTGCATCGCAGCAATCGTCCAGCGGTTGGAGCCATTGGCCTGTTCTCCTGGACATTAGTCCCGACCTGAATGGGAGACGGATCGCCTCACAACAGGACGGGACTTTCTTTTGAGTGTCTTGGCAGAAAGAAATCAGTCTGAAAATAGTGATTCCACCAGATATTGTTTCATATGTTGCTGAGTGTATGCCCATCAGGAGTCAGCATGCCAGTGGCCGACTTCCTGAAAACCTGCAGCATCTGTGAGATGGTGCTGTGGGAAAACAACACATTTCACAGTGGCCTTTTATTGCCTTTTATTGCACAACATGTGCAATAATCATGCTGTCTAATCAGCATCTTGATATGCCACACCTGTGAGGTGGGAGGGATTATCTGCAAAGGAGGAGACACATTTGTTGACAATATTTGAGACAAACAGTTATTTTGTGTTTGTGAAAATGTTTTAGTTCAGCTGATGAATAATGGTAGCAAAAACAAAATGTTGCATTTAGATTTGAGAAAAAGAACCATGTGATCAGGAGAAACACATCAGAAGACCAAACGATTCCCACTGTTCAGTGAATTGAAGAAGCCCTGCTGACAGAACTGAAAGTTTGAGGAAGATGTCACCACATCTCTGGGTCACGTTTCCTCTGTCGTCACAATCGTTCTCAACACAGGAAGAATAAAAAGCACCAATTTGTTTTGGCAACATTTTTCACTTCCTTTAGTATTTAACTGTGAAAAACTCACTGCAATCCAGGATGAAGAGTCCAGTTGAGAAGCTGATCACTTCTGCTGACAATATCCAGTAGATCCAGTAGATCCAGTAGAACCAGTTCCTCCTGAACATCTGCCCAGCTGCTGAAGCCTCGTCTCCTCTCTGCTGGACTCCACCTCTCCTCTCCACCAGAGGGCGCCATGCTCCAGTAGGCGGCGCTCTCCTTGTGCTCTGTGCTCCAGCATTGTGTCAATAAGAAGTGGTGCTGTGAAGAGAACAATAGTCAGACTGAATGTTGAACATCAGCTGCTTTCTCCTGCTGATTTAAACCTTGTTGGACAGATGGAACATTGGCTGTGGATTATTCTGGCTGCTCTTTTCTCTGGTAAGATACAAAGATGTTTCCTCTACATGGAGTCTTTAAAGCTGCTGATTGTTCTCCTTTAATCAATCATCTTTATTGATCCGTCTCTTCCTCTGCATGTTCTGTTCTTCCCAGAGTGTAAAGGAGACTCAGTGAAGCAGACAGGAGGAGAAGTTGCTGCTGCAGCAGGAGAATCACTGACTCTGGGATGTACCTTTGAGACCAGTGATCAATTCCCAAGATTGTTCTGGTACAGACAAAACAGAAATGATTTCCCAAAGTACATCATGAAACGTTATGGGGAAACTGTGGAGACGGCTCAAGAAATAAACAGTCACAGATTTACTGGAAAACCTCAGAAAACATCTTTTAACCTGACGATCCAGGATCTGCATCTGTCAGACTCTGCTGTGTACTACTGCGCTCTGCAGCCCACAGTGACAGGAAACACCAGAACCCTGAACAAAAACATACGATTTGTCTGTCAGAGCGCAGCAGGTGAAACAGATCAGGACACTGAGGACTGATGGCCGACCCGTTTTAAAATGTTCTGTGCCGTTTTTGGTCCAGTTATCAGCAAGGCTTCACCTCTGAGTGAAAATATTCTGCATCAACATTACAGTTCTTGTGTTCCATACAATGAGAAACTTCATGATATTTCTTAATTTATTCACTGTTTAAGAGACAAAAACATTTCTATAAAGAAAGCAGCTGAAGCTGAGAGGAAGAGGATGAAGAGGAGAAACAGGAGGAAGAGGAGGAAGAGGAGGAGCTGATCTGATCCTGATCTCTAAAGAGACTCAAACTTCCTCCTTCAGTTCAGTTCAACTCTCCAACATCAACTCTGCTCATCATGGACTATTATAGTCTGTCTCTGCTCATCGCCTCTCTGCTAACAGGTCAGATTGGATTTTATTATTAAAACCTGATTATCTACTTTACATAACTGCCTCATTATGAAGAATTGATCACAGAACTTTAATGTTTCTCTCTTTTTCTTCAGCAGTCACCTGTGAAGAACTGACTCCAGTCAAACATGCAGAGTCCAGATCAGAAAACAGCAAAGTTACTCTGTCCTACACTTACTCCAAACAAGCAACTGGAACTGATTATTTCTTCTGGTATCGTCAATATGCTGGAAAACCTCCACAGTTCCTGATCTCCCACTCAGGAACAGGAACACAATTATCTGAGCTGCTTCCTGGTTTCTACTTCAACATGAATGATGATAAAATCCAGATGGATCTGCTGATCTCCTCTGCTGCAGTGACAGACTCTGCTGTGTACTACTGCGCTGTGAGGCCCACAGTGACAGGAAACACCAGAACCCTGAACAAAAACCTGCAGTACTGCACAGCAGCCACTAGAGGGCCTCACTCCCTGTTAATCCACTAAAACCTGCAGTACTGCACAGCAGCCACTAGAGGGCCACACTCCCTGTTAAACCAGTAAAACCTGCAGTACTGCACAGCGGCCACTAGAGGGCCTCCCTCCCTGCTTCCTCCTGCGCTGTGAGGTCAGACCGTCGCAGACATCAGTTCTGCTTTATTCCCAGGTTCACTGAGACTTCAACTGTTTTTCTGATCTGACTGCCTGGTTCTGTTCTAGAATTGAACTGGACTGCTCTGATACATCAACGGCGGCACATGATTAGCTGAGACTTAAAATAATTTTAAAAAGATTGGACAGAAACATTGACAGAGAAAAAACTTTATTGAAAAGATTCTGTAAGCGGACGGGTCAGAACCAGGGGCCAATTGTCTGAATTTTGGGAGATCATCCACCTCAAGGAAATCCACCAGTGCCCTGTTCTGCTCTGTCCTGAGAGATTTGGCCGACTGACCGCCCACCAGGTCATGTCTGCATGTCGGCAGTTAACAAGCCACCACATTTTTACCATCTCAGCAACATTTCAGTCAAAAAATGGGCACCAGCTAAACTCAGAATCAGGCTTTTTGAGGACTGGTGATCAGCCAGAAAACCTCCATCAGTGCAGTCCTAGCCAGAACCTCAGAACCCGACACTTGAGTTTCCTTCCACTCGTCATAATTTTGATGACCAAACCTGTTCAGTTGCCACTTTGTCCTTCCCTGTGAGGCTCCGCCCCTCTGTGCTGAGTCCTGATGTGGCCCAGCAGACCCGTCTTCTGGCTGAAGCTCCGCCCACATGTTCTGCAGATGAACGGTTTCTCTCCAGAATGCGTTCTGACGTGTCGCCACAAACTTCCTCCCTGAGTGAAACTTTTCCCACATTGCCTGCAGGAGAACGGCTTCTCCCCCGTATGGGTCCTCATGTGGGACAAGTAGCGGCAGTGGAACCGGAAGCGTTTCCCGCAGGCGTCGCAGGAATACAGACTCTCTGCTGCTGGAGTGCGCCGGGCCCGGGTCGCTGCTGACCTACAGGGGCCGCTGTCGGTGTCGCGCACCGCGGAGGCTGATGAGGTCAAAGGTCGTCCTGTCTGTGGACTCGCAGAGACAACGTCCTCGGTTGGGGACGCCGTCCAATAAGTTGCCTGGTCCACTGCTCCACCATCATCATCGTCCAGACTCTCTGATCCACAAGAACTTTCTGCATATTTTCTGCTCTTCTTCCTGACTCTAGACCCTAGAAGAGGTTCTGACCCAGGGTTTGGTTCTGGATCAGTTTCTTCATCAGTCGGAACCGCCATGAACGTCTCTGGGTCTGGCTGCCCTTCCTCCTGACAGACACACAGATCCTCCTGGTTCTGTTTGATCCAGGACGGTTCTGGATCCTCCTGGTACTCTTGCTTCAGTGATAGTTCTGGTTCCTCCTGGTCCAGACTCCAGGTCCTGCTGTGGTTCTGGAGCTGCAGGCCCATCAGAACCTGATCAGAATCTTGTTGCTGTGGAAGTTCTATGGGAACAAGAGAAGATATGATCAGAACTGCCGATGGTTCTGGTGCCAGGGAGCTGCAGTTTGTTTTGTTTCTGCTGTGGACCGGACCGGACCGGACCGACCCGACCCAACCTCTCTGTATTGATCTGAGCTCTTTAAGCCCAGACCTCAGATGGCCTGACTGTGACGGCGAGGAGACGACGGCCGGCCGAGTATCGACTCATCGTTACTTCTGTCAACGAAAACAAAATCACAAAATAGAAATAATTTTGTTTTACTGAAATAAAGATAAAATGACTTTGCAGCAAACGAATGAACAAAGAAACTGGGTTCAGGTTCTGTTTGGGCCTCAGTAGCAGGAAGTCCAGTTTCCTGCTGTGCCTCCTTCTGCCAGCAGGTGGCGTAAGTCCGTGTGGGCGGAGCGTCACGTGGCTGGAGAAAACAGCATTGAGATGAAAACGAGATCAGATATGTGGAACGTTATGAAAGTGGAAAATCCTACAAAACTTAAAGTAAAATCAGGGGCCCATGGGGGAAAGCAGGGGCCCATGGGGGAAAGCAGGGCCCCATGTGGAAAAGCAAGGGCCCATAGGGGAAAGCAGAGGCCCATAGGGGAAAGCAGAGGCCCCATGTGGGAAAGCAAGGGCCCATGGGGGAAAGCAGGGGCCCATAGGGGAAAGCAGAGGCCCCATGTGGGAAAGCAAGGGCCCATGGGGGAAAGCAGGGGCCCCATGTGGGAAAGCAAGGGCCCATAGGGGAAAGCAGAGGCCCATAGGGGAAAGCAGGGGCCCCATGTGGGAAAGCAAGGGCCCATAGGGGAAAGCAGAGGCCCATAGGGGAAAGCAGGGGCCCCATGTGGGAAAGCAAGGGCCCATAGGGGAAAGCAGAGGCCCCATGTGGGAAAGCAAGGGCCCATAGGGGAAAGCAGAGGCCCATGGGGGAAAGCAGGGGCCCATAGGGGAAAGCAGAGGCCCCATGTGGGAAAGCAAGGGCCCATGGGGGAAAGCAGGGGCCAATGGGGGAAAGCAGGGGCCCATAGGGGAAAGCAGAGGCCCCATGTGGGAAAGCAAGGGCCCATGGGGGAAAGCAGGGGCCAATGGGGGAAAGCAGGGCCCATAGGGGAAAGCAGAGGCCCCATGTGGGAAAGCAAGGGCCCATAGGGGAAAGCAGAGGCCCATAGGGGAAAGCAGAGGCCCATGGGGGAAAGCAGGGGCCCATAGGGGAAAGCAGAGGCCCCATGTGGGAAAGCAAGGGCCCATGGGGGAAAGCAGGGGCCCATGGGGGAAAGCAGGGGCCCCATGTGGGAAAGCAAGGGCCCATAGGGGAAAGCAGAGGCCCATAGGGGAAAGCAGAGGCCCATGGGGGAAAGCAGGGGCCCATAGGGGAAAGCAGAGGCCCCATCTGGGAAAGCAAGGGCCCATGGGGGAAAGCAGGGGCCCATAGGGGAAAGCAGAGGCCCCATGTGGGAAAGCAAGGGCCCATGGGGGAAAGCAGGGGCCCATGTGGGAAAGCAAGGGCCCATGGGGAAAGCAGGGGCCAATGGGGAAAGCAGGGCCCATAGGGAAAGCAGAGGCCCCATGTGGGAAAGCAAGGGCCCATGGGGAAAGCAGAGGCCCATAGGGGAAAGCAGAGGCCCATGGGGAAAGCAGGGGCCCATAGGGGAAAGCAGAGGCCCCATGTGGGAAAGCAAGGGCCCATGGGGAAAGCAGGGGCCCATGGGGAAAGCAGGGGCCCCATGTGGGAAAGCAAGGGCCCATGGGGGAAAGCAGGGGCCCATGGGGGAAAGCAGGGGCCCCATGTGGGAAAGCAAGGGCCCATAGGGGAAAGCAGAGGCCCATAGGGGAAAGCAGAGGCCCATGGGGGAAAGCAGGGGCCCATAGGGGAAAGCAGAGGCCCCATCTGGGAAAGCAAGGGCCCATGGGGGAAAGCAGGGGCCCATAGGGGAAAGCAGAGGCCCCATGTGGGAAAGCAAGGGCCCATGGGGGAAAGAAGGGGCCCCATGTGGGAAAGCAAGGGCCCATGGGGGAAAGCAGAGGCCCATAGGGGAAAGCAGGGGCCCCATGTGGGAAAGCAAGGGCCCATAGGGGAAAGCAGAGGCCCCATGTGGGAAAGCAAGGGCCCATAGGGGAAAGCAGAGGCCCATAGGGGAAAGCAGAGGCCCATGGGGGAAAGCAGGGGCCCATAGGGGAAAGCAGAGGCCCCATGTGGGAAAGCAAGGGCCCATGGGGGAAAGCAGGGGCCATGGGGGAAAGCAGGGGCCCATAGGGGAAATCAGAGGCCCCATGTGGGAAAGCAAGGGCCCATGGGGGAAAGCAGGGGCCAATGGGGGAAAGCAGGGGCCCATAGGGGAAAGCAGAGGCCCCATGTGGGAAAGCAAGGGCCCATGGGGAAAAGCAGAGGCCCATAGGGGAAAGTAGAGGCCCATGGGGGAAAGCAGGGGCCCATAGGGGAAAGCAGAGGCCCAATGTGGGAAAGCAAGGGCCCATGGGGGAAAGCAGGGGCCAATGGGGGAAAGCAGGGGCCCATAGGGGAAAGCAGAGGCCCCATGTGGGAAAGCAGGGGCCCATGGGGGAAAGCAGCGGCCCATGGGGGAAAGCAGGGGCCCCATGGGGGAAAGCAGGGGCCCCATGTGGGAAAGCAAGGGCCCATAGGGGAAAGCAGAGGCCCATGGGGGAAAGCAGGGGCCCATAGGGGAAAGCAGAGGCCCATGGGGGAAAGCAGGGGCCCATAGGGGAAAGCAGAGGCCCCATGTGGGAAAGCAATGGCCCATGGGGAAAGCAGGGGCCAATGGGGGAAAGCAGGGGCCCATAGGGGAAAGCAGAGGCCCCATGTGGGAACGCAGGGGCCCCATGTGGGAAAGCAAGGGCCCATGGGGGAAAGCAGGGGCCCATGGGGAAAAGCAGGGGCCCATGGGGGAAAGCAGGGGCCCCATGGGGAAAAGCAGGGGCCCCATGGGGGAAAGCAAGGGCCCATGGGGGAAAGCAGGGGCCCATGGGGGAAAGCAGGGGCCCCATGTGGGAAAGCAGGGGCCCATGGGGGGAAGCAGGGGCCAATGGGGGAAAGCAGGAGCCCATGGGGGAAAGCAGGGGCCCATGTGGGAAAGCAGGGGCCCAACAGGGAAAGCAGAGGCCAATGGGGGAAAGCAGGGGCCCCATGGGGGAAAGCAGAGGCCAATGGGGGAAAGCAGGGGCCCATGGGGGAAAGCAGGGGCCCATGGGGGAAAGCAGGGGCCCATGTGGGAAAGCAGGGGCCCCATGGGGGAAAGCAGGGGCCCCATGGGTGAAAGCAGGGGCCCATGTGGGAATTAGGGGCCCATGTGGGAAAGCAGGGGCCCATGGGGGAAAGCAGGGGCCCGTGGGGGAAAGCAGGGGCCCTATGGGGGAAAGCAGGGGCCCCATGGGGAAAGCAGGGGCCCATGGGGGAAAGCAGGGGCCCATGTGGGAAAGCAGGGGCCCATGGGGGAAAGCAGGGGCCCATGTGGGAAAGCAGGGGCCAATAGGGGAAAGCAGGGGCCCATGGGGGAAAGCAGGGGCCCCATGTGGGAAAGCAGGGGCCCCATGGGGGAAAGCAGGGGCCCCATGGGGGAAAGCATGGGCCCATGTGGGAAAGCAGGGGCCCGTGGGGGGAAGCAGGGGCCAATGGGGGAAAGAAGGGGCCCATGGGGGAAAGCAGGGGCCCATGTGGGAAAGCAGGGGCCCAACAGGGAAAGCAGGGGCCCATGGGGGAAAGCAGGGGCCCATGGGGGAAAGCAGGGGCCCATGTGGGAAAGCAGGGGCCCAACAGGGAAAGCAGGGGCCCAACGGGGAAAGCAGGGGCCCAAGGGGGGAAGCAGGGGCCAATGGGGGAAAGCGGGGGCCCATGGGGGAAAGCAGGGGCCCATGGGGGGAAGCAGGGGCCAATGGGGGAAATCAGGGGCCCATGTGGGAAAGCAGGGGCCCAACAGGGAAAGCAGGGGCCCAACAGGGAAAGCAGAGGCCAATGGGGAAAGCAGGGGCCCATGGGGGAAAGCAGGGGCCCATGGGGGAAAGCAGGGGCCCATGGGGGAAAGCAGGGGCCGCATGGGGGAAAGCAGGGGCTCATTCCGCAATTAGGGGCCCATGTGGGAAAGCAGGGGCCCATGAGGGAAAGCAGGGCCCATGAGGGAAGGCAGGGCCCATGGGGGAAAGCAGGGGCCCATGGGGAAAGCAGGGGCCCATGTGGGAAAGCAGGGGCCCCATGGGGGAAAGCAGGGGTCCCATGGGTGAAAGCAGGGGCCCATGTGGGAATTAGGGGCCCATGTGGGAAAGCAGGGGCCCATGGGGGAAAGCAGTGGCCCGTGGGGAAAGCAGGGGCCCATGGGGGAAAGCAGGGGCCCCATGGGGGAAAGCAGGGGCCCATGGGGGAAAGCAGGGGCCCATGTGGGAAAGCAGGGGCACATGGGGGAAATCAGGGGCCCATGTGGGAAAGCAGGGGCACATGGGGGAAAGCAGGGGCCCATGGGGGAAAGCAGGGGCCCATGGGGGAAAGCAGGGGCCCATGTGGGAAAGCAGGGGCCCATAGGGGAAAGCAGGGGCCCATGGGGGAAAGCAGGGGCCCCATGGAGGAAAGCAGGGGCCCATGGGGGAAAGCAGGGGCCCATGTGGGAAAGCAGGGGCCCATGGGGAAAGCAGGGGCCCATGTGGGAAAGCAGGGGCCCATGGGGAAAGCAGGGGCTCATGGGGGAAAGCAGGGGCCCATGGGGGAAAGCAGGGGCCCATGTGGGAAAGCAGGGCCCATAGGGGAAAGCAGGGGCCCATGGGGGAAAGCAGGGGCCCATGTGGGAAAGCAGGGGCACCATGGGGGAAAGCAGGGTCCCCATGGGGGAAAGCAGGGGCTCATGGGGGAAAGCAGGGGCCCATGTGGGAAAGCAGGGGCCCATGTGGGAAAGCAGGGGCCCATAGGGGAAAGCAGGGGCCCCATGTGGGAAAGCAGGGGCACCATGGGGAAAGCAGGGTCCCCATGGGGGAAAGCAGGGGCTCATGGGGAAAGCAGGGGCCCATGTGGGAAAGCAGGGGCCCATGTGGGAAAGCAGGGGCCCATGGGGAAAGCAGGGGCCCATAGGGGAAAGCAGGGGCCCCATGTGGGAAAGCAGGGGCCCGTGGGGGAAAGCAGGGGCCCCATGTGGGAAAGCAGGGGCCCAACAGGGAAAGCAGGGGCCCATATGGGGAAGCAGGGGCCCATGGGGGGAAAGCAGGGCCCATGGGGGAAAGCAGGGGCCCATGGGGAAAGCAGGGGCCCCATGGGGGAAAGCAGGGGCCCAGGGAAAGCAGGGGCCCATGGGGGAAAGCAGGGGCCCATGGGGAAAGCAGGGGCCCATGGGGGAAAGCAGGGGCCCATGGGGAAAGCAGGGGCCCATGGGGGAAAGCAGGGGCCCATGTGGGAAAGCAGGGGCCCATGGGGGAAAGCAGGGGCCATGGGGAAAGCAGGGGCCCATGTGGGAAAGCAGGGGCCCATGGGGAAAGCAGGGGCCCATGGGAAAGCAGGGGCCCATGGGAAAGCAGGGGCCCCATGTGGGAAAGCAGGGGCCCATGGGGAAAGCAGGGGCCCATGTGGGAAAGCAGGGGCCCATGGGGAAAGCAGGGGCCCATGTGGGAAAGCAGGGGCCCATGGGGGAAAGCAGGGGCCCATGTGGGAAAGCAGGGGCCCATGGGGGAAAGCAGGGGCCCATGGGGGAAAGCAGGGGCCCATGTGGGAAAGCAGGGGCCCATGGGGGAAAGCAGGGGCCCATGGGGAAAGCAGGGGCCCATGGGGGAAAGCAGGGGCCCATGGGGAAAGCAGGGGCCCATGGGGGAAAGCAGGGGCCCATGGGAAAGCAGGGGCCCATGGGGGAAAGCAGGGGCCCATGTGGGAAAGCAGGGGCCCATGGGGGAAAGCAGGGGCCCATGGGGAAAGCAGGGGCCCATGGGGGAAAGCAGGGGCCCATGTGGGAAAGCAGGGGCCCATGGGGGAAAGCAGGGGCCCATGGGAAAGCAGGGGCCCATAGGGGAAAGCAGGGGCCCATGGGGGAAAGCAGGGGCCCCATGGGGAAAGCAGGGGCACCATGGGGGAAAGCAGGGTCCCCATGGGGGAAAGCAGGGGCTCATGGGGGAAAGCAGGGGCCCATGTGGGAAAGGGGCCCATGAGGAAAGCAGGGGCCCATGGGGGAAAGCAGGGGCCCATGTGGGAAAGCAGGGGCCCATGGGGGAAAGCAGGGGCCCATGTGGGAAAGCAGGGGCCCATGGGGGAAAGCAGGGGCCCATGGGGGAAAGCAGGGGCCCATGGGGGAAAGCAGGGGCCCATGTGGGAAAGCAGGGGCCCATGGGGGAAAGCAGGGGCCCATGTGGGAAAGCAGGGGCCCATGGGGGAAAGCAGGGGCTCATGGGGGAAAGCAGGGGCCCATGGGGGAAAGCAGGGGCCCATGTGGGAAAGCAGGGGCCCATAGGGGAAAGCAGGGGCCCATGGGGGAAAGCAGGGGCCCCATGTGGGAAAGCAGGGGCACCATGGGGGAAAGCAGGGTCCCCATGGGGGAAAGCAGGGGCTCATGGGGAAAGCAGGGGCCCATGTGGAAAGCAGGGGCCCATGTGGGAAAGCAGGGGCCCATAGGGGAAAGCAGGGGCCCATAGGGGAAAGCAGGGGCCCCATGTGGGAAAGCAGGGGCCCAACAGGGAAAGCAGGGGCCCATAGGGGAAAGCAGGGCCCCATGGGGGAAAGCAGGGGCCCATGTGGGAAAGCATGGGCCCATAGGGGAAAGCAAGGGCCAATGGGGGAAAGCAGGGGCCCATAGGGGAAAGTAGGGGCCCATGTGGGAAAGCAGGGGCCCATGTGGGAAAGCAGGGGCCCCTGCTTTCCCCCATGGGGGAAAGCAGGGGCCCATACGGCCCATCGGCGTCCAGGAGGAAATGTGATCTGTGAGATCTGTTATGTCTTTGATACATTTTTTCCTTTCAACTCAGAACAATAATCAATCAATAAACATCCAGTTTTCAGAACTGTTACTGCCTGATCTATCAGAGCGGAACCAGAACCCGACCCGGTTAGGTTCTGTTGATCTGCTGCTGATTCAGCGTTTGATTCTCCTGAACCTGAAGAGAATTACCAGGATTTTCTACGAGGTTCGGTTCTGCTGGACACATTTTCTCTGAAAGCCAGAACCACGTCGGGTCGGGGCAGAATGGTACCGTTAACCGGGCTGCGCCGGGTCTCACCTGTTCTACGAGGTTTTGTGTCCGGCAGCTGGAGCCGAGGATTCTGTTCTTCTCCAAACTGGACCGAGCCGATTCCAGAACCGCAGAATATCTCTCTGATCTGCAATTCCACATCCCGGCCCGGTTCTCCTTCACCCGGGTCGGATCTGTGGTTCCGCTCCTGGCTCCATAGTTTTGGGTCAGTCAAAACCGGATCCTCAGGAACTTTCAGCTGCTGGAGTTCTGGACGGACAGGAGAACCGGGACCAGCGGTCAGACCTACATCTCCTCCTGCTGGACCCACTCAGAACCAGGTCCGGTCATGGTTCTGGTAGGGAAGTGAAGAACCGGCAGCTTCAGATCAGATCCAACTAGAAAACTTGAAATATTCTGGATCAGATGTAGAAACTGCATTAATGAATAAAGAAAAAATGAAAGCACTAAACTATCAGACATCCCATAATAACAGATCAATTTATTGGGCTTCTTTGGGTCAAAACAACAGGTAAACACTCTTTAATCAATAAAATAAATATTTTAGTCCCTAAAACATTTATTTCTAACTAATTTATTCATAAAATAAGTATATTTGTTAACTTTTCTAGTTCTAATTTTACTTGTGAAGTATTAAACACACAGAACAGGGTCCAAACAGCAGGTTCAGTTGGTTCCTGGTGTGTGAGGTGTTGTGGACCTTTTGGTTGCCGGTGTGTGAGGTGTTGTGGACATGTTGGTTGCCGGTGTGTGAGGTGTTGTCAACCTGTTGGTTGCCGGTGGTGTGGTGTGTGGACCTGTTGGTTGCCGGTGTGTGTGGTGTTGTCAACCTGTTGGTTGCGGTGTGTGAGGTGTTGTGGACCTGTTGGTTGCCGGTGTGTGTGGTGTTGTCAACCTGTTGGTTGCCGGTGTGTGAGGTGTTGTGGACCTGTTGGTTCCCGGTGTGTGAGGTGTTGTGGACCTGTTGGTTGCCGGTGTGTGTGGTGTTGTGGACCTGTTGGTTGCCGTGTGTGTGAGGTGTTGTGGACATGTTGGTTGCCGTGTGTGAGGGTTGTGGACCTGTTGGTTGCCGGTGTGTGAGGTGTTGTGGACCTGTTGGTTCCCGGTGTGTGAGGTGTTGTGGACCTGTTGGTTGCCGGTGTGTGTGGTGTTGTGGACCTGTTGGTTGCCGGTGTGTGAGGTGTTGTGGACCTGTTGGTTGCCGGTGTGTGAGGTGTTGTGGACCTGTTGGTTGCCGGTGTGTGAGGTGTTTTGGACCTGTTGGTTCCCGGTGTGTGAGGTGTTGTGGACCTGTTGGTTGCCGGTGTGTGAGGTGTTGTGGACCTGTTGGTTGCCGGTGTGTGAGGTGTTGTGGACCTGTTGGTTGCCGGTGTGTGAGGTGTTGTGGACCTGTTGGTTGCCGGTGTGAGGTGTTGTGGACCTGTTGGTTGCCGGTGTGTGTGGTGTTGTGGACCTGTTGGTTGCCGGTGTGTGAGGTGTTTTGGACCTGTTGGTTGCCGGTGTGTGAGGTGTTGTGGACCTGTTTGTTGCCGGTGTGTGAGGTGTTGTGGACCTGTTTGTTGCCGGTGTGTGAGGTGTTTTGGACCTGTTGGTTCCCGGTGTGTGAGGTGTTGTGGACCTGTTGGTTGCCGGTGTGAGGTGTTGTGGACCTGTTGGTTGCCGGTGTGTGTGGTGTTGTGGACCTGTTGGTTGCCGGTGTGTGAGGTGTTTTGGACCTGTTGGTTGCCGGTGTGTGAGGTGTTGTGGACCTGTTTGTTGCCGGTGTGTGAGGTGTTGTGGACCTGTTGGTTGCCGGTGTGTGAGGTGTTTTGGACCTGTTGGTTGCCGGTGTGTGAGGTGTTGTCAACCTGTTTGTTGCCGGTGTGTGAGGTGTTGTGGACCTGTTTGTTGCCGGTGTGTGAGGTGTTGTGGACTGTTTGTTGCCGGTGTGTGAGGTGTTTTGGACCTGTTGGTTCCCGGTGTGTGAGGTGTTGTGGACCTGTTGGTTGCCGGTGTGTGTGGTGTTTTGGACCTGTTGGTTCCCGGTGTGTGTGGTGTTGTGGACCTGTTGGTTCCCGGTGTGTGTGGTGTTGTGGACATGTTGGTTGCCGGTGTGTTTCGGTCCCCCAGCGGCTCTCCAGCAGCCTCACGGTGTTCTCCACCTCGGAGAAAATCTCCTCCGCGGCAGCAGCGAGTCTCTCCCTGATGAACTCTCTCAGAGGCTGAACGGAACACATTACTGCTGAAAGGTTCGGCCCAAATCCAACAGAACCACCGCCAAACACGGCTGGCTACTGCTAACGGCTACTAGCTAGGCTAAGCTAATCACAGGAAGTCACGTGATGCTTGGAGTGGCGTTTCAAATACGTCACATAGTTTATATTTATTTTTCGGGTTGTAAATCAAATAAACAGAAACATCAGAGAAGATATAAAGCATCAAATAGCTCATCACCATCAAACATTAAATATGAACGTTGGGATTCATAAGGAATCTTGGTAATATGAAATGAAATTGTGGATTTACTTCTATAAGTTGCACCATAAGTTACACCATTTATTAATTTTATGTAATGTGTCCACATTCCTTCCCGATTGGTGTCCCAGGGCCGAGCAGAGACCTTTGGAGGGCCTCAAAGTTAAAAAGGGGCCCAGTGAACAAGATCTTAAAACACCGAACAACAACATAGCAACAACCCATATTGATCAATAATCTAAATGGATCATACTATATCATTGCCATCATGTGGGGACAAAGCAAATCAAATGTCTATATTTTCCCCAACAGGAATAAAATTTCTGTTTCTGCAGCTGATCTGAGACTGTAGCTGTTAAACAATATGGTGTAATCTTTGTGAGAAGGTCAAAGGTTATGAAGTTATGAAATAAGAGCATTTGCTGCCATTTTTCTCTTTGATTCTGAGATTTGTTTTTTCAAAAAGAAAAATATTTGCCAAAGTTATGGGGAAACAGATATTCCAGTTAATCTGGGTGCAGGCTGAACCTCCACCAGGGGGCAGCAAAGAGGAACAAATGTCCACCAAAACACTGAAATTTCTACATTTATTTCACATATTCAATAAAAAACAATGTTGATATTCTTTTACCATGTATAGTTATACATTTGAGATATTTTCAAACCACTAAAGGCATAAACTGATGACATTAAAGCTGATTTTAAAGTGTGATAAATGTGACAGAATTGTCAAGCTGAAGTTAAACATTCAGGAGATGAAGAACCGGGTCGGTTTCCTGGATCAGAACCAGGAGGAGGAGCTGATCTGATCCTGATCTCTAAAGAGACTCAAACTTCCTCCTTCAGTTCAGTTCAACTCTCCAACATTAACTCTGCTCATCATGGACTATTATGGTCTGTCTCTGCTCATCGCCTCTCTGCTAACAGGTCAGATAAAAATGTTTTATGACTAAATTAAACTCGATTCTCTGTGAATCGTTTCATTTTGAACTCATTTTTCCTCCATCAGGAATCAGATGTGATGAACTCAGTCCCATGAAGATCGAACTGATCAGCTTCGAAGGCAGTTCTGTTAATCTAACTTACGGTCTAGCCAGAGAAGCTCGAAGCAACGACTATTTCTACTGGTACCGTCAGAACCCAGGAGAACCTCCAGAGGTTCTGATCTCCCACTCTGCTTCAGGAGCTGAAGGGGTTAAAAAACTTCCTGAGCTGAAGATTGAAGTGAGGAAAACCCAGATGGATCTGCTGATCTCCTCTGCTGCAGTGACAGACTCTGCTGTGTACTACTGCGCTCTGCAGCCCACAGTGACAGGAAACACCAGAACCCTGAACAAAAACCTGCAGTACTGCACAGCAGCCACTAGAGGGCCTCACTCCCTGATAATCCACCTGTGGAAATGAGACGACCCTTCCTCAAATCAAGGGAGAGGTTGTGCACCCTGCACCGAGCAGCTCACCCTGGAACGCTCTGGGTGCCAAGCCGAAACGGGAGTCTGGCACTGTGGATCCGATGAGACGATTATCAGGTAGAACCCCGCACCTGGACGAATCAGCGTGGCCGGCTCTGAGCCGAAACCCACCTTCAGCTTCAACGCCTGCTCCGCCAAAGAAAGACAAACAAGCAGCTGCAACCAAAACGCCTCCACCGACCCTGCTGACCCCACCGACCCCGCTGACCCCACCGACCCCGCTGACCCCGCTCCCAGGGACAAAGCAACCAGCAAGAGCCTCAAAACATTCTGACTCTGTGGGAATCCCACTGAAAAACAGATTTTCTGCACTCCAGCCTGAGCCTCTGAGTGAAACTTTGCCTTCAAACATCAACAGTGAGGCAAGACCAACACATCGATCCCCCAAAGCTCCCAAGGACAAAGCGACCACCAGGAAAACTAAAGGTAACCCAAAAGTGCTTGTTGTTGGAGATGAGGCAGTAAAGGGAATCAGTGACGTTTGCAATCCCAGGAAAACAAGAGTGATGTATTTTCCTGGTGACACTGTATCTGATTTAACCAACAAACTGCTCTCTCTAACCACTGATCAGCCAGATATTCAGACTTTAGTTGTGCATGTTGGAGCCAACGATCTGGCAAAGCAAAAGTCTGAGATTCTGAAAAAGGACTTTAACATTCTTCTGGACACTATGGGAAAACTGAGAATGAAGTTATTTCTCAGTGGTCCATTCCATCACCTCAATGGGGAGACGAAAAACACTCCAGGCTGCTCACGATCAACAAATGGCTGATTAAAACCTGCTCTACCAGCTCAGTGACCTTCATCAATAACCTCTGGATCTATTGGCAGCGCTTTCACCTTTTGGAAGAGGAGGATGCAATCTTAATAAACATGGGATAAAGCTACTCACTGCAAACCTTTTTTATTTTATCACACACTGGACCTGGTTATCAGTAAGGGTGTGAATATTTCCAATGTCTCTGTAACTGATGTCGCCTGTCGGATCACTTCCTGTTATCTATGAAGGTTCTTTATTCTTTGACCCACTTGGACAAACAGCTACTGTCACAAAACGTTCTTTCACAGAAAACAGCAGAAACATTTAATCAAATCTACTCTTCCTCCTCACCCTTAAGCTGTAATGATGTAGATCAGTTGGTAGATGATTTTCAGGCTAAAGTTTCATATATCATTGATTCTATTGGCCCAATTAAACGAAAGGTTTTGACTGGTAGAAAGAAATCTCCATGGAGAAAAGCACAAACAGTTGTGAGTACATAACTGTTTGTCGCAGAGCAAAACCAAAATGGTGTAAAACTCAACTTCACGTTCATAATGACATCTATAAAGAAAGACTATGTAACTATCACTCAACACTAAAACATGCAAGGGAGGCTTTCTTTGCAGTTGTCATAAACAAAACCATGAACAATGCTGGAGCTTTATTTGCAACAGTTGACAGGCTCACAAACCCTCCTATGACGTTTCCACCTGAATCCAATCTAATGCTGATGGAACAAGTTTTCCAGCTTCTTTTCAGAGAAAATCCAAAGAATCAGAGGATTAATCTGCACATTGACTCTAAAGCCAGAACCATTGCTGAACCCAAACAGAACAAATACAGGAAAAATGACCCATTTTCAACTACTTCATTCTAAAACCCTAGAAGAAATTATAAGTCAGTTAAGTTCAAGCTCCTGCTGTCTGGATGTTCTAGATCTATAACTCTAGAACATTTCTTTAAGAAAGTCCTGCCTGTTATTGCTACTGATCTGATCCAAATAGTAACTCATCGCTTACATCAGGTGTTTTCCCCCAGGCTTTGAAAACAGCAGTTATTAAACCACTGTTAAAAAAGAACAACCTGGACAAATCACTATTGCAGAATTACAGGCCGACCTCTGACCTCTGACCTCCCATTCATCAGCAAAGTTATTGAAAAAACTGTGTAAACAATGAAATAGTTTCCTCATGATGACCAACTGCTTTCACTCTTTCCAATCTGGTTTCCATGGTTACCACAGCACGGAGACTGGCCTAGTCAAAGTATTCAATGATATCCATATAGAACAGAAAATCTTTATTAATCCCACAGGGAAATTGAGGTCGTCTGTCTGTAGCTCACAAGAATTCATATCCACACAACATTAAAAATCTTTAAAACATACATGAAATAAAATAAATATAATAAATGCATCACCACTGGAAGACGTGTAGAAAGTGCTTCAATATGTTAGAATGCTAGTTGCCCCGCCTCCCTCTATTGCCCCTCCCAGAGGCAGCAGCATCATAGAGCCTGATGGACTGAAGGACAAAAGAGTTTTAATCCTCAGCTGAACAAACCAGTGAGACGAACCTTTTACTGAGGGACTGAACCCAGTTTAGACAATGTCCTCTAGGACTGAACTGAGTTTAGACAATGTCCTCTAGGACTGAGTTTAGACAGTGTCCTCTAGGACTGAGTTTAGACAGTGTCCTCTAGGACCGAGTTTAGACAGTGTCCTCTAGGACTGAACTGAGTTTAGACAATGTCCTCTAGGACTGAGTTTAGACAGTGTCCTCTAGGACTGAGTTTAGACAATGTCCTCTAGGACTGAACCGAGTTTAGACAGTGTCCTCTAGGACTGAGTTTAGACAATGTCCTCTGGGACTGAGTTTAGACAATGTCCTCTAGGACTGAGTTTAGACAATGTCCTCTAGGACTGAGTTTAGACAGTGTCCTCTAGGACTGAGTTTAGACAGTGTCCTCTAGGACTGAGTTTAGACAGTGTCCTCTAGGACTGAACCGAGTTTAGACAGTGTCCTCTAGGACTGAGTTTAGACAGTGTCCTCTAGGACTGAGTTTAGACAGTGTCCTCTAGGACTGAACCGAGTTTAGACAGTGTCCTCTAGGACTGAGTTTAGACAGTGTCCTCTAGGACTGAGTTTAGACAGTGTCCTCTGGGACTGAACCGAGTTTAGACAGTGTCCTCTAGGACTGAGTTTAGACAATGTCCTCTAGGACTGAGTTTAGACAGTGTCCTCTGGGACTGAACCGAGTTTAGACAGTGTCCTCTAGGACTGAGTTTAGACAATGTCCTCTAGGACTGAGTTTAGACAGTGTCCTCTGGGACTGAACCGAGTTTAGACAGTGTCCTCTAGGACTGAGTTTAGACAATGTCCTCTAGGACTGAGTTTAGACAGTGTCCTCTAGGACTGAGTTTAGACAGTGTCCTCTAGGACTGAACTGAGTTTAGACAGTGTCCTCTAGGACTGAGTTTAGACAATGTCCTCTAGGACTGAGTTTAGACAGTGTCCTCTAGGACTGAACTGAGTTTAGACAGTGTCCTCTAGGACTGAGTTTAGACAATGTCCTCTAGGACTGAGTTTAGACAGTGTCCTCTAGGACTGAGTTTAGACAATGTCCTCTAGGACTGAGTTTAGACAGTGTCCTCTAGGACTGAGTTTAGACAATGTCCTCTAGGACTGAGTTTAGACAGTGTCCTCTAGGACTGAACTGAGTTTAGACAGTGTCCTCTGGGACTGAGTTTAGACAATGTCCTCTAGGACTGAGTTTAGACAATGTCCTCTAGGACTGAGTTTAGACAGTGTCCTCTAGGACTGAGTTTAGACAGTGTCCTCTAGGACTGAGTTTAGACAGTGTCCTCTAGGACTGAACTGAGTTTAGACAATGTCCTATAGGACTGAGTTTAGACAGTGTCCTCTAGGACTGAGTTTAGACAATGTCCTCTAGGACTGAGTTTAGACAGTGTCCTCTAGGACTGAACTGAGTTTAGACAATGTCCTCTAGGACTGAGTTTAGACAATGTCCTCTGGGACTGAGTTTAGACAATGTCCTCTAGGACTGAGTTTAGACAATGTCCTCTAGGACTGAGTTTAGACAGTGTCCTCTAGGACTGAGTTTAGACAGTGTCCTCTAGGACTGAGTTTAGACAATGTCCTCTAGGACTGAGTTTAGACAGTGTCCTCTAGGACTGAGTTTAGACAGTGTCCTCTAGGACTGAGTTTAGACAGTGTCCTCTGGGACTGAACCGAGTTTAGACAGTGTCCTCTAGGACTGAGTTTAGACAATGTCCTCTAGGACTGAGTTTAGACAGTGTCCTCTAGGACTGAACTGAGTTTAGACAGTGTCCTCTGGGACTGAGTTTAGACAATGTCCTCTAGGACTGAGTTTAGACAGTGTCCTCTAGGACTGAGTTTAGACAGTGTCCTCTAGGACTGAGTTTAGACAGTGTCCTCTAGGACTGAGTTTAGACAGTGTCCTCTGGGACTGAACCGAGTTTAGACAGTGTCCTCTAGGACTGAGTTTAGACAATGTCCTCTAGGACTGAGTTTAGACAGTGTCCTCTGGGACTGAACCGAGTTTAGACAGTGTCCTCTAGGACTGAGTTTAGACAATGTCCTCTAGGACTGAGTTTAGACAGTGTCCTCTAGGACTGAGTTTAGACAGTGTCCTCTAGGACTGAGTTTAGACAGTGTCCTCTGGGACTGAACCGAGTTTAGACAGTGTCCTCTAGGACTGAGTTTAGACAATGTCCTCTAGGACTGAGTTTAGACAGTGTCCTCTAGGACTGAGTTTAGACAGTGTCCTCTAGGACTGAGTTTAGACAGTGTCCTCTAGGACTGAACTGAGTTTAGACAGTGTCCTCTAGGACTGAGTTTAGACAGTGTCCTCTAGGACTGAACTGAGTTTAGACAGTGTCCTCTAGGACTGAGTTTAGACAGTGTCCTCTAGGACTGAGTTTAGACAGTGTCCTCTAGGACTGAGTTTAGACAGTGTCCTCTAGGACTGAGTTTAGACAGTGTCCTCTGTTCCACCACCATCTCTGAACGGTGGTGGAACCTCGGTTCTGGTTCTGTTGGACCTCAGTGTCGACCAGGACATTTTACTGAATCGACTGGTTTGAATCTTACATAAAGAAACGGGATTACTTTGTTTCAATTGGAAACGTGTCATCAAAGAGGTCAAAGGTCACATGCTCTTGCTCTATATAGTTCAACTATAGAGCAAGAGCTATAGATCTATAGCTATAGATATATATTTATAGATCTATAGCTATAGATCTATAGCTCTAGATCTATAGCTATAGATCTATAGCTATAGATCTATAGCTATAGATCTATAGCTATAGATCTATAGCTATAGATCTAGAGTCAATGCACAGCTTCAGTTATTACAACTAAAAACTAGCGATCAGCCTGAAACCTTGGAGTAGTGATGACCTCTGACCTGAACCTTGCGAGCCACATAAAGACAGTTACAAAGTCGGCCTTCTATCACCTGAAGAACA